TGCTTGTGTTCTTAAAAAATAATCTCTGTTCAAATGCAATGAATTAAGACACATCTCCAAAACAGGCAGTTATTTAAGCAAACTTTAGATATTTAATTGTTTCTTCATGTACAAAAATGTAGTCAAGACTCTGGCATCCTGCCTGTAAGTCAGAAATTTGTCATTCTTTGCAAATTAGAAATTATGCTGAGCTGTCCACAGAGCATGCTGCAGAGAGAGAGTTTCACATGTTTAATGTGCTTGTATTTATCTTTTAATGTGGGCATTTTGATGAATTATTAATAAGAGGAGAAGCTAAAAGTTTCACCTGTGTCTATAATTTCTCAAAATAACTAGCTCAAAATAATCTTTATGCTAAGGAGGAATACTGGAGTGGCCTCATTAGGTTTCCTAACTTCCTAGTTGTATTTTGGTGGGGCATATTCCGAACCCCATCACCTATATTTGCAATGTGGTATATTTAGTACATCCATAAAAATTATCCAATGTTTTCTTCACAATAATCATGCAAGTTGCTTATTATTATCCCCTTTATTCTGAGATAACTGAAACTTTTAGTGTTTGAAGAGGCTGACATTCAAGCTAGTCAGCTTTCAAAGACTAATATACCTTTCTCCTATTATAAAAATAGAATAAATAAGTGAATGAAACCTCTAAAGCAAGTTTTCTGTTATCCAAGCTGTTACAGAAATGCAGGAAGATGATGGGAGCCAAAAGAGTGTTCTGACTCAGCAGCGCCACTTGATTGGAGGAGGGGAAAATTCACTTTCTTTGAAGTAGGATTTCATTTGGGGCTAATATGATAGAATGAGTTAGAGAATGTTAGAATTCTTAAAGCAATCACTTACACATAACAGTGAAAGGTCAAATGTGGGTTTTCTCACAAAGAATATGAATTCAATTCTTAAAGCTCTGAGCTGGTATTACCAATAAGGAGCTATGAAGAGCAGCAATTGATTTCTTCCCTTTCTTTTTCGTAATCAGAGCACATATTCACAACCAATGCAACAAGACTACTGCCTTGCATTTTCCTAGTAGCCATTTCTCAGCTTCAAGAGCATTATGAATTTTTAAAATGATAATTAGTTCTCCGTCTTTCTGGGAGTTAAGTGCTCCATGCCATCCTGAATCCACAAATGAGTTAGCAGAGATAGCCTGCACTTACCTGGCATCTGGATAAATGCTAAATTGCAGCAGCCTTGAGTATGGTGAATCATACCTCTGAAGTCAGGCAGATTTGAGCTTAATCCAGTGAATGAGTTTCTAAACATGTTTGTGCCTTATTTTCCATATCTTTAAATGAGATAATAATAGAACATACTTCATAGAGCTATTGTGAAGATTGAGTTAGCAACTGTGAAGTGGTACATTTCTGCTTTACAATGTAGTTTACTTGGAGTTAATGTGTAATAATCACAATGATAAAAATTTGATAGCAAACATTCATATTTCTAAGTGTATTACTCTAGTCAGAATACTTGCCCACTTTAAAAAACAAACCTGTTTTATGTGTTAATGTAAAATTATTGTTGTGAAAAAGTACATATTCACTCCTTGCACCCCAAACATTAATTATAAAAAGTAATTAATTACTACAGAATTTATACTGAACTACAACAAAAAATGCCCATTGGCATTACCTAATGTTTTAAAAATGACTCTTGTTAAGATAACTGTCATATTCCATTGTAATTTACTTTCACCCTTTAATTAATCATTGAGAATGACTAACAAGAAGCTTTCTTTTATGTCATACATTCTTTTTTCTGTCAGATAAGCTTTCAAAACCTCTTCCTGTAGGCAAAATGTAAGACAGGAAATTTAAATAACTGGCAAATCAATGAATGAATTATATATCAAATCTTGTATCTGTAATTATTTTTATTTTAAAAATTTACTGATACTGAGAATAGGTCATCATTTTTTATTCCTTTCATATTTATACTGTATCTCTAAATATATTTAAAGATTACATAATTACTTTAGAAAGTAAATCATCTTAATTTACCTTCAGGCCTATTTTTCAGTAAAAGTATGTTGTCATTCAACAAAAAGCCAAGAAGTAATGTGTACTAATAATGTATATGTAATGCTATGTGAGACACACATTAACTTCTAATTATTTTTAGCTAGTCTGATCTAGGTAACACTCTATAGCAATTTGTGATTATCACTCTATCACAACTTATAGTTTTTACCTCTTTACTAAACTATAAATTAATGAGTATAAGGCCCAGTAAGAAACTGAAATTTAAAAGTTGCTAAATAAAAAATACCTGAATGTATTAATACATAGTTGGATGAATGGATGGTTAAACATGTAGATAGATGGTTGGTTGGATGAAATTGCATGAGACAGTAAAGCATGCCTCTACTTTACCATTACCTAGCCATTAGAGTTTACACAAAACATGAAATTGCTAAATATCAGTTGACTCTTTTGAAAAATAATAGAGATTTCTACTGTTACAATTCCATCTGTATCTATATGTTTTGTGGTAGAATTTATACTCCACCTGTTCACTATTTCTCTCTTTTTTTTTTTTTTTTTTGAGACATGGTCTTGCTCTGTCACCCAGTCTGGAGTGCAGGGGCACAATCTTAGCTCACTGCAACCTCTACCTCCTGGGTTCAAGCGATTCCCCTACCTCAGCTTCCCAAGTAGCTGGAATTACAGGTGTGCACCACCACCCTGGTGCATTTTTTAGTAGAGATGTGGTTTTGCCATGTTGGCCAGGCTGGTCTTGAACTCCTGACCTAGGGTGATCTGCCCACTTCAGCCTCCCCAAGTGCTGGGATTACAGGCATAAGCCACCATGACTGGCCTCTTTCTCTCTTAATGAGGGGACCAGAATATGCCTTGGAGATTGTCATTAATACCTTAGAGGGAAGAAAGATAAGGGTATCTGCATAATTTCCTCACAAGAATAATGAAGCAAGAAATGTAATATGTAGTTTAGTCTAACGACTTTGTAAAATATAAGCATTCAGGAAAAAATGATATAAAACTTAAATTTTGGTGAAACTGTCTTAAAATTATAACATTTTGAGCTAAAAATTATCTAATATGATACTTAAAGAACATTTTAGAAATGTAGAATATTTAGATGAGGGTAAACATTAACTCCTGGCCATTGAACTATTGTCATAAAATCTCTTACATAATCTGAAAGAATATAAAAATACATTTTTAGTCCCAAATCTATCCTGAATTTTCATTTGTTTCCCTACCCTAGTTCACAAGGCTGAGGTGTTTTTGAGCACTACGGCAGGGTTGACCAATTTCTAAGGAACATGGTCAGTTTTCTAAGGCTGCTGTCATAATGAAGTAAGAACTATGATTAAAATAAAGTAATCCCTAGTTTGAATCCAGTCCCTGTGATTATACTAAGAAAGGACATGGAAAAAATAATAACAGCCAAGCGTGGTGGCTCAACGCCTGTAACGTCAGCATTTTAGGAGGCCTAGGCGGGCGGATCACCTGAGGTGAGGAGATCAAGACTAGCCTGCCTACCGTAGAGAAACCCCGTCTCTACTAAAAATATGAAAAATTTATCTAGGCATGCTGGTGCATGCCATAATCCCAGCTGTTCTCCGGCTGAGACAGGAGAATCGCTTGAACCCGGGAAGTGGAGGTTGCAGTGAGCCGAGATCGTGCCACTGAACTCCAGCCTGGGCAACAGAGTGAGCCTCCATCTAAAAAAAAAAAAATACTTAGAACGATTGGAGAAGTAATGGTTTCCCTTGATTCTAAGTCTACTAAATCAAGAGATTTAGCACCACATCAATGCTGTACTGCTGTCTCACTTCTCAATAGCGACTGTATCAGCAGGCAGTTGTCCTAGTTCTTTCAGCACCTGGGTTTTGATCTTGAAATCAGAGTCTACATTCTTGTTACTGGATATAGCCTGTCCAGTAGTTTTTATATTCACCATTATTCTAGAGTGTAACCAAATTCTTACCTTAATTCTCTGAGATAGGCAGTCCCTATATTTGGTCTGGTTGTGTTGTTAGTTAATGCTGTCATACCCTTCTTGCTTTTTGCCATCTGTTTTGCCCTCTTATTTTTGCTCTTAAATCATTATGTTATGTACATGTCTAAATTAATTGCCCCATTACTTCACCCTACTCTGAAAACATGCCTAAATGATTTCTGCTTACTTTCTTTTCTGGTCAGCTATTTGCCTATGATGTACACTTATGATCCAGTTTCTTTCTATTGAGGGTATTTTGGAGAAACAAAGATAAAACCCATGCTTTAGTTTGTTCATTCATTCTTTATACATATTTATTTGGTATTTTCAATGTGCCAATCACTCTTTTTATTTGGTGTTGGGATAATATAGCAGAAGTTGTAGAATAGTATAAGGTATAAATATATAAACCATGATTATCCATTTATTTATGTAATGCATATTAAATAATGCCTATTCTAGGCTAGACAACATGTTGTTTAGCACTATGTAAGAAAAATGAATAAATTAGTTTCTTCTCTCAAAAAATTGGTGGAAACAATAGACATGAAAATAGATAATTTAATGCTATATAATGTATCTGGTAATACAATTAAAGTGGAAAATATAGAAGAATCATTTGATAAAATATGATACATGCAAGGTAAGAAGTTTTTGGTATATTAAGAAGGTTGGCTTTTAAGGAAGTTAGCAAATTACAGCTGTTTACTAACAGAGGAGCTAGGAATAGATTATTTGAATTTAAATTCTTTCTCCACTTGTAAACTTGGTGACCATGAGTGTGATCTCTCTAAGCACTGGTTGATGCATCTATCATGCAGATAAAAATAGAACCTAACTCAGAATTGTTGTAAGGAATGATGAGATAATTCATATACCTGGTGCATAGTTTGTACTAAGTAAACATTTGCCATTATTATTCTATAATCAAAGAGAGTGTTAAAGAGGATTTTAAGCAGAATTATGTAGTCAAAACTTTTTTAAATGGAGCATACTAAAAGTGTTAAGGAGAATATTTTGAAGAACATGGACATAAAGCCTTCAGTAATGTGTAGCAGTAACTGATGTTTGTGGAAGAGGCTTAGGCAATGTTGAACGTTATGGATACGGCAGGCTCTATCTATGGTGTGAATGGGGGCACCCCTGGGAGAGCATATAAAATAGATAAATCATTTGCCTGAAGATAGAATTACATGGAACACAAACATTTAGGGCATAGTATCAGAAAAACGGAGGCCTATGAAGGAGATAAAGAAGAAATGGCCAGTGATGTCCTTGGTAATAGGCATAATCACAACCTAGAAATGGGTGGCAAGAGGAAGAATGAGTAAAAACCAGGCTCCACCAAAGGGCTATATTGGGAGAACTCATAATATGTTGGTTGATAAGTTAGGGATGTTGCTAAACTAAACGTCACTTTTACAGTGCCATGAGTTCCCAGAAAATAATGTGCTCCATCATATTCCTTTAAGTTAAATACCAACTTGATTAATATGAGAGCTGGTTATGGTATTAGAGAAAAGTGTAACCAACATTTTTTTTTCTTAAAGGATTTTGCAGAGAAGGAGAAGTCCACAGCAAAGGCCCTGGGTGATGTAAAGGCAAACTTTTACTGTGAATTATGTGACAAGCAGTATCACAAACACCAGGAGTTTGACAATCATATTAATTCTTATGATCATGCTCATAAGCAGGTAAGCCAAAGTGGGAAAAGTCCTTTATATTCCTGTATTTATACCTTCAAAACAGAACTGTATGAATTTGGCCTTAAAACTGTCATATGAGGCTGTGAGGTGAGAACATTTTATGTCTTTTTTTTTTTTCTGTAGAGGTTGTGTTTTGTGCTTAAATGTTATGCAAAGTACTATAAAACTGGAGGTAAATTTAGAGATGATCTAAGAGTAGACTGACATATTTATTTTAGAATTATATCAGTTAACCCTTAAACAACACAGTGGTTAGGAATGTCAGTCCTCTATGCAGTCAAAAATCCACATATGACCCTTGATTCCCTCAGAACTTTACTAATAGTGTACTGTTCACCCGGAAGAAGCTTCACCATAACATAAACAATCCATTAATGCATGTTTTATATATGTTATGTGTATTATATGTTGTATTCCTACAATTAAGTAAGCCAGAGAAAAGAAAATGTTATTAGGAAAATAAGGAAGAGAAAATACGGTTACTGTTCATTAAGTGAAAGTGGATCATCATAAAGCTCTTCATCTTCATTGTCTTCATCATGAGTAGGCTGAGGAGGAAGAGGAAGAGGAGGAGTTGATCTTACTGTTTCAGGGGTGGCAGAAGTAGAAGAAAATCCACATGTAAGTGGGCCCATTCAGTTCAAACCTATGTTGTTCAAAGATCAACTGTATGTAGGGAAACCAGGAGCCAGGAAAAATAGTGTGTTATTCAAAGTTACTTAACTAGTTAGTGACAAATTCAGAACCCTGGACTGGTAGTAGGACAGACTCTATTACAGAATCTGTTATAGTCTACATCTTTCAAAGATTCCAATTATAGGAAATATTAAGTCTTTGGGAAAGCAATTCTCAAAAGATTACATTTTCCTAAGCATAGTCTCTTAAAGTCAAAGTTGTATTTAATAAATGAAACCTTGCAAACAGGAAAACAAAAAATTCAAAAGGGAAAAGTCTAGGAGTAATCGCAGGTAAAAACATTTTAGTTTATCTTCGTGAAAGATTATATGGGTATCTGTAGTATGAGTGTGGATATACTACACATGGCTGCTTATAATACCTACTCTCCAAATGTGAAAGAAGAGGCTATTTTTCTACTCTTGTTAGATGTTATATTTGCTAATTGAGGTATGGCTATATTGGCAATTTAAGAATGTTAAATACCACCAGCTGAGAAATAAATTTCATGTGACAAAAGACTATTGCTAACAGCTATAACAAGGTACACATCCTTGATGCCAAATGGACCTGACAGGTTGGAATGTGTGGGTAAGTGTTGTATACTCTATCTGAAATATTTTTTCAAACTAAACAAAAGTAAATATTTTGTCAGATATCACTAGCATTTTATTGAGTGCATACTAACAATATACATACACATATATATATATATAT